TTGGCTACCTTCACCTATTATTTCAAACAAAACCCCTTTTGAAATGTTACTTGGAAAGGAACCTAACTATGAACATTTGCGTACTTTTGGGTGCTTGGTTTATGCACACAACAACAAACGCAAAGATAAATTTGGTGAAAGGGGGAGTCCTTGTGTATTTCTCGGATATCCATACGGTCAAAAGGCCTACAGATTATTTGATTTGCAAAAACATGCCATTTTCACCTCTCGAGATGTAACTTTCATTGAGAGTGAATTTCCATTTAAAATGATAAATCAAGAGGGCCTTGATTTTGAAAGGATTGTTGACCGTGTGTATCAGCAAATTGTGGGCCAGAACAGCACACCTACACCTGAAGCCAAACGTCCCAGCCTTCCTCCCCGTGAAATTTTTCGTCACCAGATAGTAGTGGACCAGCCTGGGAATCAACCCTCTGTAAACCCAGTTGCAATCGACAGCCTGGATATCACCTGCGGCTACCCACCTGCTGAGTACTCGCATGGACCCGAGCAACAATCTGCAACACAGTTCCGTCCACATGAGTTTGTCACCCCTGTCTGCAGGTCGCTGGACCATTCTGGAACGTCACGTCCAGACAGCTGCGCCCCTGTACGTAGTGGTCCGCGTAGAGAAGGTGCGGGCGGAGATGTAAGGTCGACCCTTCGTCACCACTTGCCCTTCGAACCCAACGATGCAGAGGACAGTAGCACTCCTGTACACTTTGAACCACAGGCCCCTCCAGGTGGCTATGAAATGGAACAACATCTGGAATCTCCATTGATAGGTGATCTGACCAGTCAAACTTCACCTCATGTGGGTGAACTCAGAAGGGGCGATAGAATTCGCCGGCTCCCTAAACATTTATCTGAATTTGATGTTGACCTGCCTCCCTCTTTGGAACGTTCAGAATCAATCTCAAATCAGGCTGATTTAATCGCGTATCCAATTTCTAATTTTATCAATTATGAGAAGTTTTCTAATAAACACAAAGCATTTCTTTCGGCCATTACTTCACGTGATGAGCCAAAAGCATTTTCACAGGCTGTTTTAGATCCAAAGTGGCGGGAGGCTATGCAAAGGGAGATCAGTGCTTTAGAAGAAAATGATACGTGGACCTTGGTTCAACTGCCGCCCGGAAAGAAAGCAGTAGATTCTAAATGGGTTTATAAAATCAAATATCTACCTAATGGTGATGTGGAGCGCTACAAGGCAAGGCTGGTAGCCAAGGGCTTCACACAAGTCGAAGGAATTGATTTTCATGAGACATATGCTCCAGTTGCCAAACTCGTAACTGTACGGTGTTTACTGGCTGTTGCAGCCAAACGCAATTGGGAAGTACATCAATTAGATGTTAATAATGCTTTTCTCCATGGAGACCTTTCAGAAGATGTTTACATGTGTGTGCCCCAAGGATTTACAAAAAGGGGTGACACCCGTGTCTGCAAGTTGCAAAAATCCCTTTACGGCCTACGCCAAGCGTCTCGTAATTGGTACCACAAGTTTACTCAATCACTTCTGAAAGTCAGTTTTCGTCAGTCGCGGGCGGATCATTCTCTGTTCATTTTCGAGCAAGGTCAGAAGCACACATTTGCCCTCATATACGTCGATGATGTCATCCTTGCCGGAAATGATCCACCTCATATCAGCAGAATCAAGGAATACTTGAATGATCAATTTAGCATTAAAGACTTGGGTGCATTAAAATATTTCCTTGGAATCGAGGTAGCTCGTTCTCCCGAAGGATTTGTGCTAAGTCAACGGAAATATACACTTGACATCTTAGAAGAAAGTGGTCTTCTAGCCGCCCGCCCCAGTCAATTTCCCATGGAACAAAATTTGAAACTTCGACCGGATGATGATAGTCCACCTGCAGATGCTTCCTCATATCGTCGCTTGATTGGACGTTTGTTGTACCTTACAGTCACCCGTCCTGATATTGTCTTCTCAGTCAATCAGCTCAGCCAATTTCTCAGTCAGCCACGCCAGTCTCATTTTGACGCTGCAGTGTGTGTCCTTCGTTATTTAAAACAAACCCCGGGGCAAGGAATTTTCTTATCCGCAGACAGTGATTTCTCCTTAAAGGGTTATTGTGATGCAGATTGGGCAGGGTGCTCTTACACTCGTCGATCTAGCACTGGATACTTCATCACCCTTGGCAGTTCACCAATCTCTTGGAGAACAAAGAAACAAACAGTTGTTTCTAGGTCTTCCGCAGAAGCAGAATACCGCGCCATGGCTGTTACAGTCAGTGAAATCTTATGGTTACGGTGGTTACTTCGTGACTTAACAGTTAATCAGACTAGTCCTACATCCCTTTTCTGTGACAATCAAGCCGCACGACATATTGCTCTTAACCCCGTTTTTCATGAACGTACCAAACATGTGGAAATGGACTGTTACTTTGTTCGTGAACGTGTTGCCAGCGGTGAGATTCATCCATGTCGTATCTCTACAACAAACCAGGTTGCTGACATTTTCACCAAAGCACTTGGCACTGATCGTTTCCATTTTCTGAGGGGCAAGTTGGGTGTTTGCAATCTTCACACTCCACCTTGAGGGGGAGTATTGAGAATAATGGGACCCGTACTATTTCTATTATCATAATGTGTAATGTTACCCTAGTACGTAACATGTGTGTATGGATTGCATGATGTGTGTGTTGGGGGTTACATGATATGCATGGCCCTCTATTATTCCCTCTCTATTATTTTACATCCACCATTTGTAGTATATATGCATGATGCATGTCACGCAAGCAAGTAGAGAGAAAATATGAAGTGTTATTTCTTCTACATGAAATACAGTGCTCTTGATATTAGTTCTTATTTTTATCATTAATCTTATTTTTATCAGTATGGAGCTCTGAAATACCTTCGATTTGATATATTATGATTCACGTAACTCATTACGAGTACAAAGTTAGGAGTTCTGCAAAATTAGCACTATCTAAAAGTAAAAACAACAAAATTTGATGTGTAATATTGATTATTTTTCCAAATATTAAAAATAGCGTAAAACTAACTTATTATTTACGTGACATATGTTAGAGACAAAGCAAAAGACAATCTATCTTATTGCTAATAGTGTCTATTTATATACAAAGTATGAAACATTCAATTCAGACATCATCTAAAAACAATACATCGTTTTCATTTTGTATATAGTTGATTTTCGACCCCTTTGGACCATTTTTCTGGCTCCGCCACTGCGCGCAACCAAGAACGTTGAAATATTTATCACTTTCAATATGATTTCATTTTATTTAGTTATTTAGCATATCATTTTTTGTTATATTTTAATTCAAGTTTGTCAACATCTAAAAGGTATATTTGTCAACCTAAATTATCACTTTCAATATTTTTGTTAGCATAGTGTTTTATAGGTGTAACCTAAAGGGTATATTTGTCAACCTAAATTATTTAATTATTTATTTAATACGAATTTTAATTTAATATTATGAATTTTAATATTATTTTGGTAAAAAAAACTAGTTAGGTTATAGATCGAGAAACTGAAGAAGTTTTAGTCATATCTAGGATAATTTCTCAATAGCACAAGATTGCTGTAAAAACATTGCTTCAAGTTCTCTAAATACCACCTATGTCCCTTAATTAAAGTTTCGGTTTGATTTTTTGAGTCAAACTTGTTACACTTTGACCGTTAATTATTCGAAATTTATTATATTTTATTTCAAAAAATTATTTAATGTGCTTCATTGTAATTTGTATTATTCAAATGTCAACATATTATAGATTTTATAGGTATATATTTATAGATAATCATGGTCAAACGTCCACCTAAGAGATCGCAAAAGTCAAACATGGACTTTAATTTATGGACAGAGGGAGTAGTTTTGAAATAAGGGAAATTGTCTGAAATATGAGTAAATAAGTTTTGGAATTTCAAAATAGTATTGCTATGTTTTTCATTTCCGAAATAGGAATTGTTACCGCTATGGTATGATTGACAAATACCGCCATTAATGCCTAATACACAATTATTTTGATAGTAATGATTCCAAAATGGAAGTAAATAATGTCTTCTATTTTAGGAAGAAAAAATCACAATCATATTTTGGAAACACAAAATTTTGTAACTCCTATTTTGGGAACTTCCCCTTAGAATAAATACTCATTTTGCCACTCCTTAAATCTATTTGACACTGCAAAGCTATTATTACTATAGATCAATAACATAAATTCATAAGAGTTTTGGAAAATATAATAGGAATATTTGGGTGTATGTACAACTTTAAACAAGTGAAGTTAAATTTATGTCATATATTTGAATAAATAAAACAAATAGCATAACTAACAATTTAAAAGGATAAAAAGCTAACAATTACCATATGCTAAGTTGCTAGCTATAATTACGCATAGCCTCAAATGCACTACAAAAGTGCTATCTACTTACAAAAAACATAATATAGGTTATTAATTTGTCTTCCCTTATTTAATTAGGCTATATAGCCATTTAACCCCTCAAACCCACCAAACAAATCATATTTCAAAATAGGTTTATGATGAGTTAAGTGATTGAATTCTAGTGAAAAAATGGCTCAATATCACCTCTATATGCTATATGCTCAACTATTATATTCAAAGAAATTTTCTTTAAATGCTTTTACCAAATAAAAAGACGGAAGAGCGACTAAAAATTTGGTGGAAATATAAAAATAAACGTACTGTAGACCAGATGTAGGTAGCGTTGTTTACTGAATTAGTGCTCTTTTTAGAAATGAGCAATGTTGATTTAGTTTAGGGAGGCTTATTATTACTTTGTGATTGTGATCGAGTACACCAAAGGGTAATTTCTCTTTTAATTGATAAATATAATTCCATTTTATTCACTAATTTTGAGTTTCATTTTGTAATAATTTCTAACTTAGTTTTTTTTATTTAATAGAATTCAATTCGATCTTAGTGCAGTTTCTATAAGTACGTCGTAGATTATCTCTATTTTCTATGATAAAACAAATTATCCTATTTTCAATACGCCACTTAAATTAGGCTCCCTCTCTAGGGTTCGCATATGGCGAGTAACTTTTGCCGCCTTGGGGTTTGAAGTGCCGATCGAAGTTTCGGCGGCAAAGGCAAAGCAACTAGCGATCGTCTCCCCTAGGTTTAGGGGTTGTTTTTCTATGCTTTCGTCTTTGACGAAGTGTGTCTTTCTTGTGCGGCTTTCCTCTGCCTTTCGTGAGGCTCTCTTCGTCGGCAGATTGCAGCGCTTATATGGCGTTCAAAGGTTGTGTACCCCTAGCAGCAGGTGGAGAGTTTCAAGTATGTTGTTCATGGTTGGGATCAAAAGGGCATGGATGAAGTGTAGGGCTAGGTGCTGGAACAGATCTGTACTGGAGGCAAGGAGCGAAAGAAGTTATAGTACTGTTGGACCGCCCCCCTCTTGAACCGCCCTCCGCCATGGAGTGCCGGACAAGTTAGGGTTTGGAAGCTATTTTTTTATTTTATTGTTTGCTTGCTTTTTATTTTTCATGATCAGTCTGTTTATTTTTTTGTTGGTTATTTTTATTGGTGTAAGACTCTTGCATTAGGATTTGGTGATGTGAGATCTGCTTTAACCGTCTTTGGCTCATTTATGCTCATGATAGGATCAACGAGTTATATTGTTTTTTCGAAAGTGATTCACTATAAGTCTGGTTCGAGGGCTGGCGGTTGTCTCTGGTCCTTTTGTCATTTTACCCCTATCTGAATGCTTTAAAAGCAATTTAAGTAATCTGTTTTGACGATGAAAAAAACGCCACTTAAATTGACTCATATTTTATCCAACATCTAATCGTATAAATATCTTTTTTTAAAATTAAAATCTTTCTCTTCCTCGACAACAACATTTCGTTAGGAACAACAATGATTGAGAACAGGATTTTGAGTTTTAGATAGTTCACAAGCAACAACAATTGCGACAAGGATATGAATAGGCATGGACCCGGTTCGGGCCGCCCGGCCCGCTACTGTGCGGGCCCGGAACCGGCCCGGTTCTCGGGTCCGGGTCAGGCCTAGGCCCGGTGGGGGGGGGGGGTCCGGGCTCGGGCCTTGTATTTGGCGAACCGGCCCGGCCGGGCCGAATTAATTTTTTTTAATTTTTTTTTTTTCATTTTTGGGGTTAACCGGGTTGGGCTTGATGGTTAGGAGGGGTTTGGGGGTGGGGGGTGAGGGGGGGTTAGGAAAGCAAAAAAAAAAAAAAAAAAAAATGACCAAACCGGAGGCCCGGCCCGGACCCGGACCGGACCCGGTGGCTACCCGGGCCGGTCCCGGGCCTTCCTTCCCAAAAAAAAGCCCGGCCGGGCCCGGCCCGGAACCGGAACTGGCCCGGCCCGGAACCGGAACTGGCCCGGCCCGGGTCCATGACTAGATATGAATCATATGATTGTAATTGAAGTCCGAGAAGCTAGCTGAGAATTACAAACAAGAATTTGGGATTCCGCCACCCCAAGCCCGTCATGAAGATCCCCATAACACAATGTACTATATTTGGCTTCAATTTCATCTATTTATCTACTCTCAAATGGTCTAGTTGATTTATACTTCGTATAATATGTGGTATTTATTTATTTATGGAAAAATTTCCGGGATATGACTAAAACAAAGTGAGTTTCTCAAAATGTGAGTAGTTATGTTTTTTTCCCAAAGTATGAGTGAAAATATATATATAAAAGAAATTTTCGTTATATTAAATTTTGGAAGGACGGAAATACCCTTTTTCTTAAAAAATGCATTTTACACTACTTACGTCCGGGTAAAAATAATGCACTTTATGAAAGAGTCATTGCACAACATTTATTGCACTTTTATGTTGTGTTCACGGCACAAGATTTAATGCATTTCATGCAATTAAGTTATGACACTTCAGTTTATGGATTTTTGTAGTTTTGATGACTTTAGTTTTTTACGTTTAATTAAATATGATGCACTTCATGCGAGAGTTATTGCACAACATTAAAAAATTGTTAGGATTTCATATACTTTTTCATTTTAAATTTGATAATCGCACTTCATGTCAATGTTAATGCGCTAATTATTGATTTATTGCATTTCTTATCATAATCACACTATACATGGTCATATCATTGCACTTCTTGTACCAATCATTGCACTTCTTGTAATATTCACGGAATTCAACACAAATTATTCATTGCACACGATCTTCAATCGTCTTCAACCTAGGGTTCATCTTCAACCTTGGGTTCGCCTTCAACCTCGACCACCTTGGTTGAAGAATCTGAGTTGTTGGAGCGGCAGTCCAATGCCATTCTTTGAGAACATTAATTCTCAACCCCAATTTCAAGAAATACAAAAAGAAAAAGGAGAAGGGGAAGGAGGCAACCATGCGGCGGGTCTGCGGTTGGTGAGCGGCGGCGAGCGATGGTTGTGCGGCCGCCGGCTAGATGGCGGACAATACATGGACGTCGTGCAGCGCCTTGGAGCCCAGGTCGAGCGGACGATTGCACTAGCTATCGACGATTTACACCGAGATCGCAGTTTTGTTCAAGGCGGCGGCGTTAGACGGTGGGTGGCGGCGCTGGACTGTGGGCGGAGACTAGGCAGCGAGCGGCAGTTGGGCGGAGGGGCGGCTGCGTGAGTGAGCGTTGGAGGTTGTATCTAGGGTTGTAGAATATGAATAGGAGGTTAGGGTTTTATAGGGATAAGCTAAAGGGTGTTTTTGTCCATAAAAATTATTTATTAATTATTAATTACGAATTTTAATTAATTGTTATGAAATGTAATATTATTTTGGGAAAAAAACTAGTTAGGTCCTAGATTGGGAAAGTGAGAGAGTTTTAGTTATATGGGGGATAATTATATCTTTATTTATTTCACAACAAAAGTATGAGCTAGACGTAAACCCGCCTTTTGATGATCTATTTTGATTGAGTGCATTAATAGTTAATGATTATAACTTATTTCATTTCTAGATTAGGGTAAATAGATCAAATCAAATCAGACTTTGATAATTATAAAATACACAGATCAAACATTTATCTGACTAGATCGGAAAATTTATTCACGTGAATTATATAATTTATTTGTCTTCTTGATAATTTATTCCTGGGATTGATCATATTTGCTTCATAATTTAGGGAGGGAAGAGTTGCACAAATATGAGTAGTAAACTCTTAATTTGCTTCACGCTTTATTTTATAGAATGATAACCGTATAATTTTCATATGAATGATCAATCCCCATCCACTAGACTTGTACTGCGCCATATATGATCTTTTGGATTGTGGACCAATTAGGGTCACATACTCACATGCATGAAACTGAGTCCACATGCAAACCTGTTAAAGTGCAAGGTCCTTGTTAGGAGCATGAATGAATATCAAGTTTTAGATCTGATTCGATGCCACATGTAGGGGTCATATATTCTAAAACTTTGTGGGTAATAGGGGTGGAGACGGTGCCGTTTGGCAGGGACCTTGGGCCCCAAGTAAAAAAAATTGATGTATATACATATGTATAAATATTTATAAGTAGTAAAAGATATAGTAAAATTTAAACTTTGATTCCTCAATATAAATTCTTTAAACCTCGGCTTCCAATCCTGCTATTTGACCTATTTCTAGCTCCGGTGCTCGCGGGTGAGGTAATTTTTCTAAGGGTTGAGGCATTTGGCAAATGGATAGTAAGGTTCGCTTAATGAAGAAAAAATGAGAAAAAACTGTAAATAAAATTTAAACAAATTAAAATGATGTTTGTCAAAAGGGATATTACCCGAAATAGGACTAAAAAGGTTTCAAAATTCCAAAATAGGACTGACATGTTTTTATTCCCAAAATAGGATTAATTACTGTCATGTTTTGTCAGTACCAGACTTCAAACATGGCAGTATTTTCCAAACTTGGCAGTAATTACTCCTATTTTGGGAATAAAAAACATGACAGTCCTATTTTGGAATTTTCAAACTGTTTTAGTCCTATTTCGGGAACTTTCCCTTGTCAAAATGATCAAATTTGTTTCTTTCTAAAATATGATATAGGATTCACATTTAAAAAAACATTTAACTTCTTTGGTTCTTTCATTACAACTAATTATGGAATCGTGTTTGAAAATAAAATATAATTAATTTAATCCTATTTGCAAATGCTTCTTAATAATTTAATCTTATTAGCAACAATTTTTTAACTCTAATCTATGGAGATTCATCCTAAATTCCTAGACTCCTACTATATTCTGTAATAGACTTCATTTTTGTTGCATTGAGAGATCTCGACTTCGCTGGATTAATCTTATACTCCAAAGGACACGTCCTAATCCCTTAAGAGAAGTAATTTTGAGCCAACAATCAACTAGTTTCTCAGCCATCTATACACCACCGTACCTCGCACAAGATATATATCATTTTTAACTAATTGATTGTGTGAGTATCCTCAGGTTTCCAACACAAGTCTTGTGAAAATCACCAATCAAACACCGCCATGTTTCCACACACCAATTTCTCATTAAGAAGTTAATCCTTACATTGTCATTTAGGACGTGATGAAATACCGATTGTGCAATCACTTGAACTAGCCTTGGGACTAGATCTCTCGAATTCACATACGGGAAGTGGTCTACTTGGACTTAGCTCCCACCGGTCAATGCATTGTATTTTTAAAATGGCCTCAAGAAATGTACCCTTGCACATTTGAAAGACCATTACACAATTACCGCCACAACGGCTACTGTGCATCAAATGATAATGTGTAAGCACTACTGTAATCGGAGGGCGTAGCTCAACTGACAGGAAAGGAGTGTCACAAGGGAGAGATCTCGAGTTCAACTTCAAGCAAAGGCTTGATATGAAGCTTCACTCTCTTTCAATTAGAGTTAGATCAAAGCTTAATTTACATCCTCTCAGATAAATGTTCGATTGGTTGTGGGGGCCCTCAGAAATGGGGTGTCATTCTTTTTTGTGTAAGTACCGCTGCATTATAGGAAGACCCAATTGTTTAAAAGGACCCGGTCAATTTCTGCTTTGAGTTCCTCTCCTCCAAAATAGGACAAGGCAATTCTACTTCTATTTTTTAATACTTCCTCTGTTCTTTAATAAGTGCAACACTTACCATTTTCGGCAGTTTCAAATTAAATGCAACATTTCTATTTTGGGAAAGAAATTCTAAGTTGATTGACTTTTATACCCTTCCATATTAAACCGTCCTTCTTGTTCCGTTTTTTTTACTTTTCTTTAATTTCTCCACTCACTCATGATTCCATTCTTCTTTAATTTACGGACTTGGCTCTTTCCTCCGTATCATCTGCGGTTCTCATTCACACACTCAACCAATTCTCCAATTCTTTCCCATCATCTCCCTCATTTATTTTCTTTTTTCTGATTTCTATTTTAATTATGGCCAAAAGGGAAGACATGGGCAGACATAAAACCGATTTTTCTCCGGTTACTCCTCCACAAGCTTGAGAGGCACGGCAATAATGGTGGCCTCTAGGCGGCGGCCGACTGTTGCGGCGTCTGGGCTTGCTTGTTTAAGCGGACAAGGGGGTGCTGAACTGGCTTCACGCCGGGGGAGGAGGACGGAGTCTTACCAGAGTTTAAGCGAGAAAGGGGGTCTTCCGAAAGTGAGCAGTACACTCGAGCATGCTGTTTTATTTCTTGGTTGTAAATCTCTAATAATTGTATGATTGTATCTACTTTAGTTACTGTAGCACTTTCTTTGTGTGACAGACTGACAGGTACTTTCCTATTTGGAAGGGTAAAACCGTGAAGTCGAACACCCTTACGCAGTCTCTTAATCTATGTGCCCAAGTGCATGTTGCACTTATAACCGAACAGAGGAAGTACAACTTATACAAGTAATACGGAGTAATATATAAGGCAAAAACCCGTTCTAAAATGATAGGGCATACCTCACTATTGTTCTAGTTTCACATTAGGCAAATTGTACCGTGGACCGTTACACTGTGCGCACGGTGTAGCGATCTTAATATGGTGTAGTTTTGTATTAAAAATACATCGTGCTGAGTTTAATCCAACACGATATAACAAATATAGATGTAAATTTGCATGAACATTCGATCTTTACGTGGAAACCCGAAAGGGAGATAATCACGGGACTTTTCAGACTAATGTCCAAGCCCTCATTTTCTCATTAGGATCTCCTCACCATTACAATGTACAATTTGAGTTCCTATTAATGGAGGATAAAATCAATCTAGAGAGAAGGAGGAACAAGAGAAGGATCCCTAAAAATGGTGGGAAAGTCCCATATTTATAGGGGAAAGGGAAAGGGGTGCAAGCCACCCTAATGAGCCAACGGGCCAAGGTGGGCCTCCTGGGCCAAGGTGGGCTGGATGGTCGAAACGGGGCCGAAACAGGTCTCATTGATCGGGCTTCGTACTGGGCAATGCATTGGGCTCCTGAACAGTAACAAACCGGATAATATATCTCAACACATCATTACACTCTTTCTTTTTCACTGCGGTATATCGTTTTCCCCTTTTCCTTCAATTTTCTAAGTTCTTCTTTATTTTTCTTTTCCTTCAATTCTTTTCTTCAATTGTATTAGTATATCAAAAGTTTTACTGCGATTTTACTTTTTTATTCTTTATCAATGCACAACAAAATTTTATTAATCTAAATAAAATAAGTATATTGCATTTCATATATATTTTTTATACTGATACATTCTTGTGTGCAATATTTTTCTGTTATATTTTCTATACTAACTTTTTTCTGCAATATTTTTTTATATTCATACATTCTATACTGTAATATATTTTTCATATTCATACATTTTTGTAATACGAGTATATTTTTATATCTCTTATATGGTTTTTATACATATGTGCGATTTACATTTGACAATACATGAGATTACATTTCATATGTGCGAATTACATTTATAGTCAATGCTTGAAATTACATTTGATAATACAATAAGTCACATTTTTAAGCATGGTTTACATCTTCATGTGCGCAAGCTACATTTTCATATGCGCAAGTTACACTTTCATATGCATGACTTACATTTATATTTCAATTTGTCTCAAATGACATTTTCATCATCATTTACACTTTAACTTGTCTAGAGTTACATTTTAATCACTGTGATTTACATTTTTACTAGACTTGGCAAATTCTATTTTACATACACATGATTTACATTGCAACATGCTTGAAATTACATTTTGCATTTACATTTCATATACGAAAGGTTGCAAAATGAGCAATAGATGGAGTAACACGAGTTACATTCCAGGTCACCAATGATATTGCATTTCTTAGCAACACATATTACATTTTAATACAAGTGAATGACTAGATATACAACACAAAAGATGTAGAGACAAAAATAATGTATTGTTCACTCATTAAATTTTAAACATAAATAACGTCATTTAGATGTGTGAGTATGATCTTCACCATGAGCTACCCTCACGGTATAACAACAGTCAAATTAAAACCATTGTGAACCTTGACCAAACCCATCTTGGATCAAGACATCAAACCGTAAATGATAAAAGAAAATTAAATTTCCAAAATCTGAAATTAGCCTTTTATTTCTTCCCAAGTCAAGAACGAATTAAATTTATATACTACTTTTTTTGTAAAAAAGTTCCAAAACATTATTCTAGGTATTTATCCTTGTAAAGCAATAAGC